AATTAAAATAGGACTAAAATGGTACAAGATAAAACTAAGTGTTGTGTTCAATCGGACGTTAATTGAACATATGGAAGCTCGAGGCATTTCATGCTCGTTAGTGATGAAATGGTTCAAGTATCCAAGGTCACCACTTCCTTTGATCAATTCATGAAAAGGAGGTGGTATGAGTCTTGTTTTGTTGCATTTATTAAAATTGCACACTTTGGTTCATGAGCCATCATACAATGAAATTGCTTGAGTTGATGGTTTTTGACCTAGGTTTGTCTCCCCTTGATTTGTTTATGAAAAGGGGAATGAATTGTGCAAACAAACCCTTGAGAAATGCACTATCCTGCTCAGTTTACTCTTTGTTGCATGAAGGAAGTCCAGTCATCAGTGGCCGACCGAACATCAGCAGTGGCCGACTAGCCCCCTGTCGGCAACCAATGCAAATTCAGCAGTGTCCTTCTAATACAGAATAGAGTTGGTCTAGAAATGGAAATCAGTGCAAGTGTCCTACTAAGCAATGGAGGCATGCAGCAGCAAAACAGTGTCTTTTCAGGTGAAAACCACGTTCATGCATGAGTTCCTCATCGATCCTTGGGATCTGTGTTGTAATAGATTAATGTTATGCTTAACTAGTGGCTTTGGTAATTAGTTAGAATAGCTAATTCGTATTGTGTTGTAATTATAATTAGTTAGCTAGAATAGTTAATTAATTCGGTTAGTAATAATTAGTTAGCTAGTGTAGCTAGTTAATTAGATTAATTTGTTGTAATAATTAGTTAAGTAGTTTAGCTAATTCAATTTGTGTTGTAATAGTTAGCTTAGTTTAGCTTAGTTAGTTAGCTAGCTTATTCATTCGGACTCTCCTTCGTGAGAGCCCAATGTAATAATGTTTATGTCTTTCAATCTCACGTCTTTCTCTCTTTTATTTACTAACTTATGATGGTTAGTTTAGGGATCACATTTCAATTAGCATATCGCATGTTTGTATCCATTCATTTGTCTTGCATACACCGAGGCTCGGTTCATCATTCAAACTTGCATTGTCGTTTATTACCTCGTTGAATACGTGTTTTAACGCATGCTATGAAATTATTGCAAATAACATATTAAGTAGCCGAGCCTATTTTAGTTGCATTATTGCATGTGTTGCGTTAGCCATCTTGTATAGTTAGGTATTATGCATATTCTTTTTCCTAACTTTTCTGTTTTATCTTAGCTTGGAGTACTAGGTGAGTTTTTAGTGCTTTAGCAAATTTACATGAGTGTGATGACTAGCATGCTTGCCATGAGGCTAAGTGCTTACTTGTTAAACTGTTTGAGTGCCTGTGGATGAATGCTAGTTACTTGAATTGGAATGATTCAATGAATGTACGTTTAAGCTCACTTTGTCAAGTGGCAAATTCACAAGCTTTAAGCCCACTTTGTTAAGTGGCAAAATCAAACCCTTTTCAAAAAATAAATATGAAATTGAATTATTCCAATTCAGGCAAACTAGTCTATACCTTGTGTGCGCACATCACATAGTAAGTGTTAGCCTAATAACCAGAATAAGAGCATATAATGTACATAAGATTCATATCATGATTAGTAGAGGCCGATCTTTGATCGGATGAGCAGGGGTGCTCAAATGTATTCATGATCTTCCCATCTCGTACCCAAGTTCCCGAGCCGAGGCAACTTTGGTGATGACGGACATGTAGCCTTTGGCACGAGTCATGGGTTTCCTAGATTTTCCAAAAACAAAAAATATTTAGGTAGCGCCTTTGTATCTGGCAAACCAGTCCATTTTTGGCACTTTGATTCAAAATCGATTTTCCAAAATATTTGCCGGATTTGGACTCTTTGGTGTTTATCAATTTCACATTGTACTTGTGAGATTAGATTCAGAACCACGGGAGTTTGAGCTGTAGGACTTATATTCGACCTTCTGAAAAGGGGGGCGCGAAAAAGTCGAGCCACAGCCGCAATGCAATCTGAATTAGCAGCTTTAGAAGCCAATCATACTTGGTATCTCACTTTTCTCCCTCCTGGTAGGAATGTAAAAATGGCCCGCAGCCTGTGGGCGACCCAAAGCCCGCCCGCGGCCCAAGGTGAGCCTGGCCTGTTTAGGCCCAGGCCCAAACGTAGCTCGAGCCCTTGGGCCTAAGCTTGGGCCATCATTTTGAAGGCCGACTCGACCCGTGGGCCAACCTATCAGCTTGCTTAAGGCTCACTCAAGGCCTGACCCGAGGCCTAGTGTTTTTTTTAGTAGAAAATAATAAAATTTTGGTAGAAAAAATAATTAAAAAAAATAATCAGGCCCATCCAAGCCCAGCCCAGGCCCGGCCCACCGACCCGCCTAAGGCTAGAATACCCCTAGGCCTAGGGCTAGGCTTGGGCCTAATTTTTTGGCCCGTGGGCCGGCCTTACTTGGCTCGAATTTTGACGGGAGCCCGCGAGGCTCGACATGGGCCGGTCAGGCCTGGCCTGGGTGGGCAGGGCTGGGCCAGATTTACACCCCTACCTCCTGGCAAGACACCTATTGGTTGTCATTGGGTTTATAAACTCAAATGTCACTCTAATGGTACTATTGAGCATTATAAAGCTCGTTTGGTTGCGAAAGGATACACCCAGATGGAAGGTGTCGATTATCATGACACTTTTTCTCCCACTGCCAAAATGATTACTATTCGGTGTTTATTAGCTTTGGTTGCTGCCCAAAATTGGTCTCTTCACCAACTTGATGTCCACAATGCTTTTCTTCATGGTGATCTCCACGAAGAAATTTATATGTCTCTACTTCCTGGTCTTTCGTGACAGGGTGAAAACATAGTGTGTCGCCTCACCAAGTCGTTATATGGCTTAAAGCAAGCTTCTCGTCAATGGTTTGCCAAGTTCTCTCAAGCTATCCATATTGTTGGATTTGTTCAATCTAAAGCAGATTACTCCTTGTTCACGTATCGAAAAGGCACATCCTTTACAGCTTAGTTGATATATGTTGATGACATTCTTATTATGGGTAATGATCTCACTGCCATTTTTGCTTTTAAACAATTTTTGCATAGTCATTTCCGAATTAAAGATTTGGGTGATTTGAAGTATTTTTTGGGCATTGAAGTCTCTCGATTTCCATCTCACAACGGAAATACACTTTGGAAATCCTAAATGATAGTGGTTTTTTGGGCGCTAAACCTATGAACTTTCCCATGGAACAAACCATAAAGCTCTTGGATGAAGGTCAATTGCGTAGAGATATCTCAATATAGGTGTCTTGTTGGACGCCTAATTTACTTTACTATTACTCGGCCGAATATCACTTATTCGGCACATGTCTTGAGCAGATTTATGCATACACCACGCAAGCCACATATGGAAGCTGCTTTGTGCTTTTTGCGTTATTTGAAAAGTAATCCAGGACAGTGTTTGTTTTTTCCTTCTCAGAATAATTTGCCTTTGCGAGCCTTTTCTGATTTGGATTGGGCTGGTTGCCCAACATCTCATAGATCCACTACAAGTTATTGTGTTTTCTTGGGATCTTCTCTTATTTTTTGGCGGACAAAAAGGCAGAAAACTGTGCCTCTCTCCTCAGCAGAAGCTGAATATAGAGCCATGACAGGTACCTACTGTGAATTATCTTGGCTACGATCATTATTGAAAGATTTGAGAATATTGCATCCGAAACTGGCATTGTTATATTGCAATAACAAAGCAGCTTTACACATAGCAGCCAATCCTATTTTTCATGAAAGAACTAGACATATAGAGATGGATTGTCACTTTATTCGTGATAAAATACAAGATGGTTCGGTTACAACCAAATATGTTGCTTCGGAAAATCAACTTGCGAATGTGTTTACCAAGCCATTAGGAAAGGAAGCTTTCTCAACTATGATACGCAAGTTGAGAGTTCTAGACATTCACTCTCCAAATTGAGGAGGAGTGTTGAGAATATGTGCTGTGATTGCTATAATTTGCTATAATTAGCTATTATATTTACCTAGAATAGATTAGCATGATTGTAGGAATTGTCTTGTATAAAACTATACCTTCTGATTCAACGAGACATTAATTTTTCAAAGGAAAATATTCTATTCCTTTTTTTACAGCCCTATTTGACAATAAAAACATACTCCCTCCATCCCAAAGTAATAGTCACTTTTGGAAAATTTAATTTTTTTTGGTAGTGCAATTATTACACTTTAAAAATATTAATTTCCTAAAATTATCCTTTGATAGTACATTTTTTTGGAAGGGTAAATTACAATGCAACCCTTGAGATTTCTGTTTAATATAGATTCCCCTCTCACATTTGAAAAATTACATTCCCCTCCTTGAAATTTATAATCTTATTACAAATTACCCCTAGATTGCTGATGTCATACCCTAAAATTTTCTAAATGATCATTTTGTCCTTTTTTTCTACAATTTCTTTTTCTCATCATCATAACTACATTCTACAACTTTCCATCATTAAATTCTACTTGAACATAATTCACATTTATTATAGTAGTACTCAATTTTTGTATTTTTTTTCTTTTTTTTTTATATTTGGTGAATTTAAAAAAAAAATCACAAAATATTATACTTCTTAAGTATATCTAGATTAGGTGTATCTAAAATAAAAAAAAAAAATTGTTTAAAGTATTAAAAAAATTCACGAAAAATAAAAAATAAAAAAGCATAATTTTTTGTGTGAGTTGAACCAAAGAAGATGATTGTTATTCTCCTTGAAATGATATGAACAAAATATTTGTATTATTTTATATGTATAAAGACTAAGGGACAAATATGTCATTTTAATCTAATAAGGGGGTAAGTGTAATTTTTCAAATGTGAGGGGGATTTGTATTAAACAGAAATTTCAGGGGTGTCAATGTAATTTACGTTTTTTGGAAATATCAATTTTTAAAATTGTACTTTTTGTGTTAATGAATTTAAAAAAAGAATAAAATAAGAAATTCATATTATTTTAGTTCTTTATTTTTAAAAATTGACTACTATTTTAGAACAATAAAAAATAAAATAAGAGATTAATATTTTAGTACCACAGGAGTAGATAGTGCCACGTACCTTGCATTGGGAGGCAGCCAAGATAACGATTGTGTCCTATATCCAACGTTTCCAAGTTTCTCATTGCTACTAATTCTGCACTAGGAATATATATGAGTAAGTAAACTATATATATAATTAAAGAATCTATATATATATATAGAAACAGAGACATAGAATAGAGAATTGTAGGACGGCATGGAGGGAAAACGTGCCATGTGCAGGGAAGTATCCACCCAAGGAATTGTAACTAACAATCAAGGTCTTAATTGAAGCGAGAGCACCCAAATATCGAAACATATTACTGTCATTGAAGAGATTGGAACCAAGATCCAACTTCTCCAGCTTCCTCAAACTTGACAACCCTTCAAATCCTGCAAAAACTACTTCTATTCCATCACAATAAAACATGAATTTTTATATGGGTTGGTGGGCTTTTTTTTCAGCTAACTTTGGCAACATGGATTGTCAATTTTTTAAGATTCATTAAATAAAATATTTATGTGAAAATTAGAATGATTAGATAAAATTATATTTGTTTTAATAAAAAAAAAAGTAGATGACAATTATAAAGTAGTTATTTATTTTTTATAACACAGATATAATTTATCAGTAGGTTTTCTTATCAAATCACATTTATGTATTCAAATTACATTTATTATTTATTTTTTATACAAATGTGATTTAATGGAAGGACTATCGAAATTTATATTTATATCACAATCAAAATTTATATTATACAGATTTAGGCTTCGTTTGGGAAGCCATGGTTTGGGCTTTTTTGGCTATTTTAGCCACAAAAAACAAAATAGCTATTTTAGCCATAACAAACAAAACATCACATCTAACCCATAATCATTACATTCTTCTCTCACAAAAACACTCAAAAAAGCCAAAAAATCAAAAAGCCCTTCCCAAACCAAGCTTTTAAGCCCAAGCTAAAATAGCCAAAAAAGCCAAAAAGTCAAAAAGCTAACCCACTTCCCAAACGGAGGCTTAGCAATACACCCACTAATAAATAAATAACATGTGGCTACGTTTGGCAAGAGCTAAACGGGGCTTTTTTGGCTATTTTAGCCACAAAAGACAAAATAGGCTATTTTAGCCGCAAAAATAAAATATCACATCCAACCCATAATCATTACATTCTTCTCTCACAAAAAAAGTCAAAAAAACCAAAAAGCCAAAAAGCTCTTCCCAAACCAAACTTTTTAACCCAGGCTAAAATAGCCAAAAAAGCCAAAAAGCCAACCCACTTCCCAAACGGAGGTATATATATCAAGCTAACATAAACTAACTTAAAATTCTCCTACTTTAATAATAGGCTCCATTTGGAGACTTGAATTTGTAGTCAAAAATTTAAAAATCACTATAAATTATTACATCATTCTATTTATTTTTTTATATGTATTTTTCTAAAAAAAATTAAAAATTCAACTTAAATAGTCAATTTTCAAACTTGATGGAGTTGGGATATTATTGTGCCCAAGCACAAGGAGCTTAGGTTTCGTTTGGGATGTGTGTTAACTTTTTAATTTTTTGACTTTTTAGTTATTTTAGTCTAGGGTTAAAAAGTCTTGTTTGGAATTGACTTTTTGACTTTTTTTACTTTTGTAAGAGAAAAAATGAAATGATTATGAATTGAATGTGATGTTTTATTTTATTAGGTTAAAAAGCCTATTTTGTCTTTTTGTGACTAAAATAACTAAAAAAACTAAGCATGCCAAACGAAGGCTAATTGTCCTTCTTGGGTGGTCCTATTTGCAGAACGTCAAGATGATTTAAATTATTTATCTTATAGAATAGGTAAAAGATTATTTATATATATAAAAAATTAAATTAATTGGACTTGATAACGACATAATCATATTATATTTGTCTTTGAAAAAAAAATTAACCATAAATTTGATTTTGAGAATAAATTTTTAATTTTTAGCAATGATTTTATTAGGATTTATTTTCAATACACTTGACGAGAATTAAGTCAAATTATTAGGACCTAATGGCAATTATCCTAAAAAAATCAAGATAATTGGACATATAACCTCGTAACAAAATCACATTTATATTTAAATAAAATAAACAATTAGAATGATTTTCATAATCTTTTAAAAAATAATTAAGACTTAATCATATGTTTATGCATGTTTAATTAATTTTATTTTTTTATATATAAATAATATAAATCTTATAATATGAATGATGCAAACGATGAAATAATAAGTCCGGATAAACGATGAAACAATTAGTTACGTACCTTGATTGTCAATCCAACCACTAAATAAATTATAAGACAAGTTGAGGTTTCGGAGCTCTTTGAAAGGAAGGAAGACAGAGGCATTTATGAACCAAATTCTGTCTGGGTGGTATTCTCTGAAATCTTCTTCAAATAGTCGAGATCCGAAAAATCCACTAGATCTGTAAAAATATTCATCGCATGATATATCTCTTATATTATACAGAGAGAGCTCAGTCACGTGCCCAGTGGTGGGATCGCATGTGACTCTCTCCCAATCACAGCACTCATTCAGATGATGATCTGCTGGTTTGTCAACCCAGGTAGGGGGAATACGGTCTGCATCAGCACCGTTGGATTTGAGGAAACCCTTAAGTTCCAATTGACCCCTCCTCTCCTCTTCCAAGCAACCACTAGTGTGTCCATTGAGATGAACCAAAACTATCAGTACCCACTTAATAGCAAACTTGCCCACAAAAGCCCACCCCATTTTATGAAACTATGGCTTCGTTTATTTTTAGAGACAAGAGATAGGATTGAACTAATAGTGAGTTAGGATATTAGTAGTGGCATGGGATGGGTAGGCATGGTGGTTGATTTTCTGTCACTAGAAATTTCTAAGCAGCCCTCTGATGACATGACTTTCTTCTCTTTCTTTTCCATTTATTTGTCTTTTTCTTTTTTTCTTCTTTCAACTCACTGTACCATTATAAATTCTTGGGTTTTGTTGTAAATTCTAGATAAATAAATTAATTTAATTAATCATATGGACAAATTTGAGAGTTTGTTCTTTCTGGAGGTTTTTCTATCTACTAATGATGGATTGAAATTAAAAAAATTTCTTCTTCTACATAAATAAAATGATTTTTTATAGTAAAATATAATAGTATAATAATATATTTATACCCAAAAAAATAATATAGTATTGTTGGCTATTTTGACACTTCGAAAAATAAAAATGTAATTGTCACGTGCTTGTAATGATCTGAAAAGTCCTTACAGAATTTATAAGTCAATTTACTTATTAACCAATTATGATTAAGTTTTTTTAACCTCAATGAAGATGACTTTAGTAATTGTGTTTTAGTAAGAACCAATACAATATAACTTAAATTCAAAACAGAATGAGAGGGAGAGCTAGACAAAAAATATAATTGATTAATTGAATAATACAATTACAAAATGTTACCTTTAGTAAGGGTAACTTCAAAAGTTGAATTCTAAAAATACAAGAGTTATTTTAATTTACTCCTATGAAAAGAAAGTGCAGTGTTGAAATTTAAAGATAAATGAAATTGAAAAAACTAGAAATCTCCTAGATGTTGATTTGTGATTATGTATCAATTTTAAGCAGAATATAACAATCCCAATCAAATAATCAAGACAAAGAAACACAACGATTTTACGTGGAAAAAACCACAATTGGACACTTCCAACTGTGATAAAAAAACCACGGGCAACAGCCACAAGACAATCCACTAAGAAGAATTAAAGGAATTACACAGGTATACTCTCAATTATCTAGCGAATCCACAACGCCTAATTGAACCAACCTCTATGTGCCTCTTCCAACCCCATCTTCACCACGGAATTGTCTTTCTGATGAGCCACTCCAGAATCCACCGAAGCTTCAGGCTCGAATTCTTTAGACTCCACAACTGAAGAACAACTCTCTCTTTTGTGTATAACAAACAAACCTTTGATGTACTCTCTTTAAACCATGAGTTGAATACTCAATAAAACATCAAAAAAAAATAACAAAATATCCCCAGATATAAACCTTAAGAACCAAAAAGAAGATCTGGAGGACTTCAATCAATTACCTAGTTTTGGGAGAAAACCAAGTATTTATAGAGAACCAAAAGTAATCCTAGATTGGGAAGAAAACCAACTCTTTAACAAATCTGGAAATCTGGATTCGCGCGGTCCGCTCGAGCGTGGGTCTTTCTGCTCGAGTGGAGACTTCAAATTCTGTGATTTCATACAGGCTCCACGCTCGAGCGTCAGTTTCCACGCTCGAGTGTCGAATCACACCATCCAGTATATTTGCAGGCTTGACAGAAATGCTGAGAGGGTCCAATCTCCGCTCGAGCGTCACTTTCCCCGCTCGAGCGGGAAGGCCAAAACTGGAAAAACTGGAAAAAAATAACATGCTCGGACAGGCAACTTTGAATGCATTTTTGCATTTTGCTTCGGGCCACGAGCTGACCGGGCAGCTCGACCCCCGTAATAATCAGCGAAGTGGCAATCTTGAAAATATTATCATCACAAACTTCTCTGAAAGGCATGGAATGTGACAATTGGTGACTTACATGTTTGGTCGTGGAATGTAACAATTGGGGACCAAATTTTTTGGTCATGGAATGTGACAATTGGTGACTTACATGTTTGGTCGTGGAATGTAACAATTGGGGACCAAATTTTTTGGTCATGGAATGTGACAATTGGTGACTTACATGTTTGGTCGTGGAATGTAACAATTGGGGACCAAATTTTTTGGTCATGGAATGTGACAATTGGTGACTTACATGTTTGGTCGTGGAATGTAACAATTGGGGACCAAATTTTTTGGTCATGGAATGTGACAATTGGTGACTTACATGTTTGGTCGTGGAATGTAACAATTGGGGACCAAATTTTTTGGTCATGGAATGTGACAATTGGTGACTTACATGTTTGGTCGTGGAATGTAACAATTGGGGACCAAATTTTTTGGTCATGGAATGTGACAATTGGTGACTTACATGTTTGGTCGTGGAATGTAACAATTGGGGACCAAATTTTTTGGTCATGGAATGTGACAATTGGTGACTTACATGTTTGGTCGTGGAATGTAACAATTGGGGACCAAATTTTTTGGTCATGGAATGTGACAATTGGTGACTTACATGTTTGGTCGTGGAATGTAACAATTGGGGACCAAATTTTTTGGTCATGGAATGTGACAATTGGTGACTTACATGTTTGGTCGTGGAATGTAACAATTGGGGACCAAATTTTTTGGTCATGGAATGTGACAATTGGTGACTTACATGTTTGGTCGTGGAATGTAACAATTGGGGACCAAATTTTTTGGTCATGGAATGTGACAATTGGTGACTTACATGTTTGGTCGTGGAATGTAACAATTGGGGACCAAATTTTTTGGTCATGGAATGTGACAATTGGTGACTTACATGTTTGGTCGTGGAATGTAACAATTGGGGACCAAATTTTTTGGTCATGGAATGTGACAATTGGTGACTTACATGTTTGGTCGTGGAATGTAACAATTGGGGACCAAATTTTTTGGTCATGGAATGTGACAATTGGTGACTTACATGTTTGGTCGTGGAATGTAACAATTGGGGACCAAATTTTTTGGTCATGGAATGTGACAATTGGTGACTTACATGTTTGGTCGTGGAATGTAACAATTGGGGACCAAATTTTTTGGTCATGGAATGTGACAATTGGTGACTTACATGTTTGGTCGTGGAATGTAACAATTGGGGACCAAATTTTTTGGTCATGGAATGTGACAATTGGTGACTTACATGTTTGGTCGTGGAATGTAACAATTGGGGACCAAATTTTTTGGTCATGGAATGTGACAATTGGTGACTTACATGTTTGGTCGTGGAATGTAACAATTGGGGACCAAATTTTTTGGTCATGGAATGTGACAATTGGTGACTTACATGTTTGGTCGTGGAATGTAACAATTGGGGACCAAATTTTTTGGTCATGGAATGTGACAATTGGTGACTTACATGTTTGGTCGTGGAATGTAACAATTGGGGACCAAATTTTTTGGTCATGGAATGTGACAATTGGTGACTTACATGTTTGGTCGTGGAATGTAACAATTGGGGACCAAATTTTTTGGTCATGGAATGTGACAATTGGTGACTTACATGTTTGGTCGTGGAATGTAACAATTGGGGACCAAATTTTTTGGTCATGGAATGTGACAATTGGTGACTTACATGTTTGGTCGTGGAATGTAACAATTGGGGACCAAATTTTTTGGTCATGGAATGTGACAATTGGTGACTTACATGTTTGGTCGTGGAATGTAACAATTGGGGACCAAATTTTTTGGTCATGGAATGTGACAATTGGTGACTTACATGTTTGGTCGTGGAATGTAACAATTGGGGACCAAATTTTTTGGTCATGGAATGTGACAATTGGTGACTTACATGTTTGGTCGTGGAATGTAACAATTGGGGACCAAATTTTTTGGTCATGGAATGTGACAATTGGTGACTTACATGTTTGGTCGTGGAATGTAACAATTGGGGACCAAATTTTTTGGTCATGGAATGTGACAATTGGTGACTTACATGTTTGGTCGTGGAATGTAACAATTGGGGACCAAATTTTTTGGTCATGGAATGTGACAATTGGTGACTTACATGTTTGGTCGTGGAATGTAACAATTGGGGACCAAATTTTTTGGTCATGGAATGTGACAATTGGTGACTTACATGTTTGGTCGTGGAATGTAACAATTGGGGACCAAATTTTTTGGTCATGGAATGTGACAATTGGTGACTTACATGTTTGGTCGTGGAATGTAACAATTGGGGACCAAATTTTTTGGTCATGGAATGTGACAATTGGTGACTTACATGTTTGGTCGTGGAATGTAACAATTGGGGACCAAATTTTTTGGTCATGGAATGTGACAATTGGTGACTTACATGTTTGGTCGTGGAATGTAACAATTGGGGACCAAATTTTTTGGTCATGGAATGTGACAATTGGTGACTTACATGTTTGGTCGTGGAATGTAACAATTGGGGACCAAATTTTTTGGTCATGGAATGTGACAATTGGTGACTTACATGTTTGGTCGTGGAATGTAACAATTGGGGACCAAATTTTTTGGTCATGGAATGTGACAATTGGTGACTTACATGTTTGGTCGTGGAATGTAACAATTGGGGACCAAATTTTTTGGTCATGGAATGTGACAATTGGTGACTTACATGTTTGGTCGTGGAATGTAACAATTGGGGACCAAATTTTTTGGTCATGGAATGTGACAATTGGTGACTTACATGTTTGGTCGTGGAATGTAACAATTGGGGACCAAATTTTTTGGTCATGGAATGTGACAATTGGTGACTTACATGTTTGGTCGTGGAATGTAACAATTGGGGACCAAATTTTTTGGTCATGGAATGTGACAATTGGTGACTTACATGTTTGGTCGTGGAATGTAACAATTGGGGACCAAATTTTTTGGTCATGGAATGTGACAATTGGTGACTTACATGTTTGGTCGTGGAATGTAACAATTGGGGACCAAATTTTTTGGTCATGGAATGTGACAATTGGTGACTTACATGTTTGGTCGTGGAATGTAACAATTGGGGACCAAATTTTTTGGTCATGGAATGTGACAATTGGTGACTTACATGTTTGGTCGTGGAATGTAACAATTGGGGACCAAATTTTTTGGTCATGGAATGTGACAATTGGTGACTTACATGTTTGGTCGTGGAATGTAACAATTGGGGACCAAATTTTTTGGTCATGGAATGTGACAATTGGTGACTTACATGTTTGGTCGTGGAATGTAACAATTGGGGACCAAATTTTTTGGTCATGGAATGTGACAATTGGTGACTTACATGTTTGGTCGTGGAATGTAACAATTGGGGACCAAATTTTTTGGTC